CGTAATTGGAAATTTTTTTATGATAACAATTTACAAACAACGCGCCTACAATCTTCTGCTCTCGAGCTTTTGTATGTAGAAACGTGATGGGTAGGCGACACAAATGTAGGTATTTAATCTGGTTGAACGGATTAATTTCCCTTTTATCGAATGGCCGCTTGGCCGCGATAATGGGATGCTCGCCGCGAAAGTTCGTCCGCGGGTGAAATTAAAAGGTGCGACATTCAAACGTGAGAGAGCACCCGAAAACCGGTTTTGCTGCAACGCTTGCGTCGCAAGGCACGACCGACCGACCGGCTCGAGATAAATCAACGCGGAAGAGTGTCGTAATCGAGGCGACCGGAGAGAGAGAGAGGAAATGCACCCCACGTGGTGCGTGATGCAGGTGCAGACGAGTAAGTATTCTCCGTTTTTCTGTCCGTTGAGATGTTGCGGAAAATTGGCTTCTTTGTCGACGATTTTTTGCTAGATGTGAAAAGTGATGCTGAGCAAATTTTTTATTCATAATTAATAATTGCTTACAAATAAGTTCCTTAATGTGAGGGTGTAATTTAAAAAATATTTTTTACTAAAAAATCTGTGCTGAATAAATTCACATCAAGGAGTAGTATTTCAAAAATTCTATTTTATGTTAGAAGAGATTTATGTAGTTATAAAAATTTTGTAGATTAATTTAACGAAATTATGTTTTTATAAAATTTATTATTGTTCAAGTATTTTTTTTATTAGAAATACACTATCACTGACAGGTGAAAAATATAATAACAAGAGAATAGTATACAAAAGTTGTTAAATTCCGGTATTATTTCTGGTATACAAAAAGAGAGATGCATAATTAGGAAAAATGCATAAGAATACACGAATAGAAAAATAGTTTGTCCTGTCCTCGATAAGAAAGACAAATCGAGAAGTCGCAAGCAGCGTGTCGCGATAAAGCAAGAAGTGCATGGACTACTTTGTCGTTGTCACTTTTTCTCGCTCCGATTCGCGGCGAAGCTCCGTTACAGCGATGCTAATATTCGCGTCGGCTCGATCTAGAACCAAATACTTATTCATTTGCTCGGTTACGAGCCAGCTTTGACGTAACGATTCCGCGTTTGTGATCGGCGAACGAGACGCTTCGGTAATGACCTAGGTAGCGACGATATGTCGCGATATTTCTGTCGCGCGAGTGTGACAGTTACGTTACCTCCTTTGCCGATTCTTTCGATTTAATATAAAATTTTGCATTGAGTTTTAATAATCAAGATGTGGGATGTAAAAATTATAAAAATATGAATTATTTTCTCTATGTTTCTCAACAAACATCTTATGTCAATACATTTCTAAAATGCATATCAACATTTCTGTGAAATCAAATCCTTAATATTTCCTTAGCCGAAAAAAAACCTGATACTTTGATCCTTTTCGGCAAGAAAGCAAAAAGGCAAAAAGTTAAGGTGTCAATTTTTTTGGCGAAAAAGCGAAGCGGCAAAAAATTCGAAGTGTCAGGTTTTTCGGCAATCAAATTGAAGACTCAGTTTCTTTTTCGGGGTCGAAATTAGATATCCACATTGCGTCGCTTCCAATTACGCGACACATCTAAATTCCATTTGCCTTAAGAAAAAATGTCTTAATGTGGCAACGCGGAATTTCTTAGCGCGGAAAAAGAATTTCGTAATAGAAGAGAAAAAAAGAAAACGCTAAAGAGGAACGACTTTCCGCGCCTAGATCGAGAGACGCGAGACGTAAAAAACTTTTACCTTCGATCGGCATCAGCATGTCTAACGCATCTCGTAACGATTCGCGGCGCGGCTCCAGAGCGATCCAGGGCGGTGAGCGCGCGTGAGACGGAACGAGCGCGCACACGACGCGACGCTGTCGCGCTGGAACGGGGCCTGCGCCTCTCCATAAATGTATCGGTCGCGAATTTTGCAATTGGCATATCCATCGACTGGGATATCTGTTCCCGTTGCGCCGCGTTATGGGCGTTATTCGCGCTTATATAAAAGCCGCCTCTCCTGACCGTTAGAGCGCAACGCACGGCCGCTACATGCAGATCAACGTCAGCGGGACGCGTCTCGCAAAGTGATATCTCGAATGTGCATTCTCGATCTCACCGCGGAGAAGGGGGCACGCCCGTTACATTTTCAATAATTTCTTGCGCAACACGCCGCAACACGTCGATGTCTCTCTCTCTAAATGCGATTCGGCCGATTCAGCGTCTGCCAATTTGCATGCGCTTATCTTCCGGCAGTTCGCTTCTCATTCATCTATTATATATTTGCGCGAATCGGACAGAGCCGCCCTGGCGAATCTATTGCCGTCGTGATAACTGAATGTACCATTGGACGTCGACAAAGCGACTTGCGAAGAAAAATAATCAAGTAAATTTTATGGACTGCGAAATTTAAATATAAAAGTATTGATAGATCTGACAAAAAGGACGGCACGGATTCTCCACAAGATTTTAAAATGATACGCCTCAAGATACGAATCACGTTAAAATTGATTTCGTTCGTGTTTATTTTCGTGAAACTCTTGAAGGATAAATCTGACGCGTGTCGTAATCAGAAACTGATATTGTGTTTTCGTGCGTTGGAGAACAACGATGGATTTCATCTGCGTTCAATGATGTACAAAAACACCGGCCATCGAGGGATGGGTGACGCCGGGGGTGAAAGGGACGGATTTCTTAAGCGTGCCAGCCAGCCGCTATGGCTGTTCGATGGCGATCCTCGAAGCTATCTGCAGCCGTGTCCTCACTGTCCTACAAATCCAGGCAAAAGGACAAGCGGGCTGCAAGGCAGGCGACTACCATCGCGCGTCCCGCCACCGATCTTATTCATTGCTAATCCGGGTAACCTTGATTTTTGGTTGCTGGTCGCCTTCGTATCGGCCGACTCCGGAATATATCTGCCACACTTTTTATCGTCGACACATCTAACTATGGCCAGATCGTCAGTGCCATCGTCAAAATCTGCCAGAAATAAATCTCAAGCGCAAGTCCTGGCTCGCATTGCCTCAAGGAAAACACATTATCAAAGATGTGCCGTAAAAAACCATCAATGACGTAATGAAAATGGACAGGATTACGGATCAGAGAGATGATGCATTCAGTTCTCTTTCTACAATTCATGAAGACGCTACTGCAAATTGATTTTATTCCGAAACCTAAGGATATTTAGAATTTTTATAAAGAATTTCAGCTTTTACTATTAACTATGCTGCTACAATTGTAAAAATAGTATTGTAAAAAAATAGAATTTATCAGCGGTATGTTATCACGTTATTTCAATTCGTTCTTTAATTGCTGGCGAGTACTTGACAAAAGTGTGTCATTGAGCTACTTATCTCATTTTTTGGTACTTTGCTTTTTTCTGTAAAAATCTCGTTTGTCAAAAATAGATGATTTTCATGGTATCTTTTTATTTCGACATTTAACAAAATAAAATTTACTGTGAGACGTTTAATAAATTATGATATTTTGAATCATCAATATTAGCATTAATTATATATTTTTTAAAAATTTTAATTTATGAATTGTAAATTATCTAAGGCGAGCGATTGTGTTATAAAGAAAAGTGAAATATCCGGTTTTATCTATTAATAATTGAAATAATTTTGATTTTGATTTGACACGGAAATCCGGGCCGCTTTTCGCGAAAGGTAAATTGAATCAATTTCACATACACGTACATAACTTACAATCTTCTTGCCAATGATGCTACCGATTTATTATCAAGCATTTTGTTCGTAGTCTCAAGGCGCTTTGCGAGATCAAGATAAAGTCGACATTGCGAAGAAAACGCGTTCGTATTCTACGAATTTAACGGATAATTCCGCATACGGCGGCGAAGAACTGATGAGAACAAAAATAGCAACTTTGAATTGCATCAACCGTTTAGCAGTCTTTTTTTATCGCTGACTTTCACGCTGCGATATAATCATTTTGAAAATTTATAAGACAAAATGAACAAAATAATTTCTCGACGATTATTTTAACGACGTGATGCAAAAATGTCAAATTAAAAAGAAAGATGAAATGCAAATTAAGAATTAAAACCAAGGTTTAAAATTTTCAAATTTTCTCCTTAATTCCGTCGTTCTCGCGCATTATTAAAAAGCTTCTAACTAAGCTCCAGTACTAATCGAGCGACGTGGTGCGAGAGGGATTGCGTATGAAAGCGAAATGAAAAATCGCTCCGACGACGACGACGACGACGGCGACGACGACGACAATGGCAGTGGCGGTGGGAACGAGCTTCCGGCCGTGGCTCGCAAGCGGAGAAGAGGGCTTTCCCGTTATGTGCCTCGTCTCTAGAGTTGATTTGGCGAGGTGGTGGCGGCAACGACGGCGGGCAGAGACCAGTACCGCTAGCTTCCCAGAAATCGACTCTCGATAATACCACTCGATACGAATGAAGTAATCTCTTTACTGTCGCGGAGTGAGAGGAAAAAAAACCGCGCTACTGATCAGCGGTGGGTGCGCGTGTGCTTGTGTCACGCCGCTCGGGCTCCGGATGACAGCGGGTGGGCCCGGCGAGGGAGAGGGGTACGTCACACAACTCATGTCTTATTCATTAATCCGGACAAATTCGAGAAGTGTACTCCTCCCCGCATGCTCATCCAAGTAATCTCTTTGACTGGATTTTTATATCTTTTTTATTATCGTTAATGTACAATTTTGACGATCAAGAGCCATCGATGGATTCTTCTTAATGTCGTTAAAGAAAGTGTGACAGAAATAAAACGTGCGAATTTTTATTGTTAAAACAGACTGCCCAGGAGTGATTCCTCCCATTGATACATTTTTCATATGGAATAATTTTACGTTTTGTATTTACAAAATATAAAATGCAAAAGTGTTAAGATTTTTAGAATAAAAATTTTAATTCTGATATCTTCCGCGCCTTATTGATATAATTATGTCAATATACATCGTATATATATATATGCATCGCTCATTGCTTCGGTTTTTCAAAAAGTTCCATCGTTCTAAAAATAAATTCGAAGATTGATGAAATCTATTTGTTTCCCGTGTAAGTAATGTTTATGCGTGTAAACGAAATTAATATGGATGAAAGGAAAGAAAGAGATCATTGGAATTGTATATTTCACTTCCTTCTCGTCGAACGAAATGCATTCGCATAGTTGTCTCACAGTTACATAACGCCATTCAACATCCTGTTCAGACAGATTTTAGATTCAAGATCGATCGATTGATTTTCCCGATGAGAAAAATCGTTCCAGACGTAAACAAAGTCTGCCGTCCCAAATAAATGTGACAGCACAGAAAAAATTTAGCAAAGATGAAGATCGGCTCTCTACACGCAATAATATACATACATCTATCTCTTCATAACATCAGAACGAAAAAGATAATGAAAAAAAATGTGTACAATTATCCTTTAAAAGTTGATTATTTTCTCTTCTATCAGTGTGCTCTCCATCGGCAATAACAGACAATTTACGATTCTGACGATAAACGTTTAATTTATATGAGCGAACTTGCATCGACGGCACCAAGAACCGCAGATCTTTCAGACGGAGAAAACGAAGAGTGGCATTTTTCTGTCGATGCACGTGCGTAATCCACCTTCTTGTCGGGTGTTCCCGCATGCTTCCCGAAGCATCCGAAAGCACCATGCTGGTTATGTCATGCCGACCAGCCGGTCGCCTGGTGAAAAACGAAACTTCGCTCTCCGTCCACGTACCCCGTGATGTACGAAAAGTGAATTTACCGTCGACTCCCCAATTCCGGCCGGGGCGTCCCATCGCAAGTACACTCGAGTACATACGAATAATACCGGGAACAGCTGCAGACAGAATCGTTTCTTGAGCGCGGCTGCGAGTAGCACACCGCTTCCTTCGCCACCAGAAAACCCGATGGCACCTTAAGCAGAGAAGTCAAGGGCAAGAAGCGTCCCTTGGTTCGCTACGGGCCCTATCGGCGATTCTCTCTCCCCTCTTCTTCTCCACCCGCCCCTACCACCTACGTAGATTACACCTCGCTCCACCGCCTTCGGGGTTCTTTTCCTTTTCCCCTTCCCTGAGCGTTCTGCGCGATCATCCCTCCGCTTCTCTTTAACATTTCTCTTTCTACCGAGTGAGTATGTCTCCTCAGGTTTTCTTGAAATTCGTCTCCGAGGCAGAGGGGTTACAGCTCCCGCGATCCGTACGAGAATGTCACCTCCTCCTCCTCCTCCTCCTCTTTCTTCTCTTCCTCCACCGCCACCTCCTTTTCCTCCTCCTTCTTCTCTTCCTCCCTCCAGCTGCCCACCTCGTCTCAACACGAATCCATATGTATGGGGTTGAGGCGCACAGTGCTCGACGCAAATGTGCTGACTACATTATGTCGGGCTATATAAGATAGCCGGACAACCATCCTATCCCCACAGACCGAGCCAGATCGGCGGACCGTTCACAGACGGGCCAGGAGGAGCTTGCGTCCCGTTTTGCCGACGCTCATTCGACACACGGTTGAGAGATCACGTACAAGGCTCTTTCGGGGGCGAGTCGACGCAGTGTACTCTTGTTGACACTTCTGCAAAAGTGGGCGAGAGACCGTTCGGAGTCGTTAAAATCGAGGAATCGTCTCAGCGAGGATAACAGAACCAGCCCGATCATCAAAATTCACGTGTTCCGATTCGAGAAAAGAATCACAACTCAAACCGTGTCTTGATAGCAAAAACGCTAACGGATTTTTTCGCATCGTCACAAAGAGAGAAAGAAAGTGGCGAAGAGGAAGCAGAAAATTGCCCTTAGTGAAGAAATTTGTGATTGTGCCGAAAAATGATTTCTATTAGCGCCACAACGTCCATTCTGCTCGGCGTCACTCTGGTGGCCTTGATCTTGATCCTGGTGGATTATATGAGATCGAAGACGCCGAAGAAGTTGTACGACGGCGAAGAGGCGTCCGCTCTGTTGGACCCACCTGGACCGAAGCCGTGGCCGATTCTCGGCTCTCTTCATATTTTTGGACGCTACGATCTGCCTTACAAAGCCTTCGGCGATCTTGTCAAGCTTTACGACAGCCAGATAATCAAGCTTCGGCTGGGATCTCTGCCTTGCGTCGTTATCAACGGATTGGAGAACATCAAGGAGGTCTTGGTCGCCAAGGGCCATCACTTCGACTCCAGGCCAAACTTTATCAGATATCATCTTCTCTTTTCCGGCAACAAGGAGAATTGTAAGTATTTTGAGATAAATTTTCAAAAATCATTTACATCCTTTCGGTGAAAACAACTTTGAACAACTAAACTTTGAAATAAACATTTTTAAATTTTAACGGATGAGAAAGTTAAAGACATGAAACATTCAAATAAAGTCAAATATTTTCTTGCCGTTTTCTGACAAATTTTTTACATAGTCGAATATATATGTAATTGCAAATAATAATTATGTTTATAATATTGTAAAATATTTTGCGATAATGCTTCTTTTATATTTAATATTTATAATGCTTAGAATGAAAAAGTTTACTGATAAGTCTCGGATAACTCAAACGATGCAGAGTATACACTGGTATATAAACAAGAAAGAAGTAAATACATCAGATTGCTGAGTAACGTTCAGCATTGTTTTTATGAGAAGTGTCTTGTATAGCGTAGGATCACGTTAATATTAAATTAATAAAATTCAGGCGCCGCGGAAGTATTTTTTATCTGAGGGGACAAAATTTATAAAGGGGATTCATAATACCATATGTATATGTATATGTATGTAATTCCATTCAAACACCATATAATAAGCCGCGAAAAATATGCACAGATTTTTTGTTCTAATTAACTTAATGCGCTTAATTTTCTTCGTTATGTAGTGTACTTCAATTGAACGAGTAAATAGTACAAAAAAAAGGAAAAAGAAAAGGAAGAAAAGAAAAGAAAAATAACCGATTTTTCCATCTTTGATGCAAATATTTGATGATGAATATTTTCGGTCATGAAAATACCTGAAAGAAACAAGAAAATTCGGAGGGGGGGCTACGCCTAACCCGAAATTATCTCGTGGGTGGGCGGCCGCCCCCTCCCACCCCCCCCCCCCTCGTTTCGCGGCGCCTGATAAAATTTAAATTTTTCTTTCACGATACAAATAATTTCTCTTCAATTTTGTTTATAAAAATATAGACACAATTATATGTAATTAATACATAATTTTTCAGGCACAAATAATAGCAAAAAATTGATTATATAAAGAAATGGAAACTTTGTACAAGTAAAAAGCAAAAAAGTAGATGAACTAAATTATTATTAATTACTAATAAGATTATCCTTAGAACTCTTTTTATAAAGTAAAATTTCGTTGATAATCTATCTTATCGTTATTAATTAAGAATAATACCAAATGAAATAATTTAGAATAATTGATGGTTAGTTAACACTTTCATATCGCTTGAAACAGAGATCGATTACGCTCGCGCGACCGCAACGAATCACTCTCTCAGCGCTTTGGGTCACGGTTAGTCGTTTGATAGTCGATCGCACGCTCGACGGAGAGACCAAATTTCGGACGATTTATCGTCCTAATTGTGAATCATCGATCGTCGCGCGTCGACTAAAACTCTGCGGCTTGTCGGCACCTCGTCAGGACTCCTGAAAAAACACTTCTCATGCTAACGGCCTTGTGAGACACGTGAGCTACGCGCGCCCATACGCATATCGTACGCATGCGATTTATTTCTCGCTCACGCATATTCCTCGCGGCACACTCTCGTTCGTTCGCGCCGAAACTCGTGTTAAGGTCAGTGCAGAAGTGGTACCAAGTGCAGGCGGAAAGGTCACGGTACCACTTTCACGCGTTCCTGGCTCACCCGGCAGCCGGCAAACAGGATCAAGGCTGATCCATCAGAATCGCCGTGCTCCGCGATCCAAGACGATCGTTTGAATTCTTTCCATTGCGCACTCTCATATCCATTACGGCGGAATGTTTTATTTTCACGCGCGCATCACGGCGCCAGTGGCTTTTAATTAACACGATCACTTCAAAAACATTTTTTGCAGAACGTAAATTAACCCTATTAATTGCTCGATAGCTTTTCATTTCATTACACGGAATAGATCAAATTAATGAATTATATTCATGTAAGTCTCTCAAAACTGGAAATTTTTTAATCTTTTTAGCAATTTTTTATGTAGTATTTTATTTAATTCACGTATAAAAATTTAACGTAGATGTTTTCCGTTTACTAAAAGTTATTTATTTTCCATGTATTATAGAAAAAGTTAATTACACAAAATGATGAATTTTATTAAATCACTCAAAAAATAATTTTTTTGAAATTTAATTTCTTCTGTTAACATTTGTTGGATTGTCGCGGAAAAATCGGTGACGTGATAGGACGAAGAAGCCGGGAAAAGATCGCTCTTCAGATTCTCGGGCGCCCTGCGCAGGCAACGAGAAACCGGGTCACTTCCTGCTGCCGTCTTCTCTCTCGCTTCGATTTCATATCGAGCTTACCAACCGTTCGGCGAACCGATCAAGTTCGCTGGATAATTCACGCTGCATCTCGTTCCTTTGCGTTCGCATAACATTTCCGTGTATGTAACGTGTGCAAAGTGCGCGAAGTAGAAAGCGAATGTGCGGCAATAAATTTTTCTTTTACAAATCAATAATATGTCGGAACGTGTTGTTACGCCGGGATGGTAACAAGGCCAAGTTCAACATCGCAGCCGGTCATGCTGATCGTTCTTTTCTCGATTCGGTAATTTGAACCGTTCATGGAATAGCGCTATGTTTATCATCACGGCGTCAGCTGTTTTCGTTGTATGTTATTATAAATTGTAACGCGACGATGAATAAAACTAGTTGATGTAATGAATGATGTGCCTTGAAATGATCTTAAATAATTATATTATGTTCTGAATATATATATTTTTTGACACAGTAAATTAATATTATCCTAATTATTAATAAGATCCGGAAGAAATACTATAACGATTAATTAATTCGCAGCTCTGGCGTTCTGCAACTGGTCGGATATTCAAAAGACACGAAGGGAGATGTTGCGACCGCACACTTTTCCGCGCGCCTTTACCGCACGATACAATCAGCTGAACGTTATCATCGGCGGCGAGATGGAATTGCTGATCGATCAACTAGTCAGCGTCTCCGGCGTCAGCCTGCACGCCAAGCCGTTGATCATGCACACATGTGCGAACGTCTTTCTCAAGTACTTTTGCTCACAGCGCTTCGGTCTCGGGCACGGTCCTTTTCGTACGATGATTGAGAATTTCGATAAAGTGTTTTACGAGGTAAATCAGGGTTACGCCGCGGACTTCATGCCGTTCTTGATGCCGCTGCACCAGAGAAATATGACGAAGATGGCCAATTGGAGCCACGAGATCAGGAAGTTTGTGGAGGAAAATATTATCGGAGATCGCTTGACCAGCTGGAAGTCGGTCATACCTGAAGAGGATTTAATAGATTGTTTGATAAATCACATCCAGACCGGCGCCGAGCCAAAGATAACCTGGGACACGGCACTGTTCGCGCTGGAAGACATAATCGGAGGCCACTCGGCGGTCGGCAATCTTCTTATCAAGATTCTGGGATACCTGGTCACCCGGCCGCACGTACAGAAAACGGCGCAGAAGGAAATCGATGGTGTCGAGACTTCAAGCAGGTTCGTCGGCCTGGAGAACAGGGGAAACATGCCGTACACGGAAGCCATTATTCTTGAAGCTATCAGGCTGATCGCCAGTCCGATCGTACCGCACGTGGCCAACCAGGATAGCTCCATAGCCGGTGAGTAGTTTTCTCTCCTTTTGCGGTTAGACCATCGGAACGAATGTCAAGCAGTTTTCCTCGATCAATTGCTCTCGCAATTTGTGCAAATTCACGAAACGATAAGTGAAATTCTTAACTTTACACCGACAATTATATATTTCACGAATCTTAATTTAAGTAATATTAATTGATTTTATCGATGTGATAAAATTAGCAATTTTTCCGAGAATTTCATTATTTTTATTCGAATAATTTTTTTCATTCTAGGCTATAAAATCGAGAAGGACACATTCATCTTCTTGAACAATTACGATCTAAACATGTCGAACAAGCTATGGACTTCCCCTGAAGAGTTCATGCCACAGAGATTCGTGCAGAACGGCAGGCTTCTGAAGCCGGAGCACTTCCTGCCGTTCGGTGGCGGCCGGAGGTCCTGCATGGGCTACAAAATGGTCCAGTACATCAGCTTCTCGACAATAGCCACCTTACTGAAGAACTTCAACATAGTGCCAGTGGAGAAGGAGATCTACAAAATTCCCATTGGCAATTTGGCGCTTCCGGAGAAAACTTTTAATTTTCGTTTCGAGAGACGGTAGGATAAGAAGCGCCATAATTATTATAACGAATGAATCCGGTCGGATCAACGAAATCGGAATGCGATTTCTCGTCGAATGGTCGTTCGCATTCGACATTTGATTCGATCACGATCTGGGCTCTGAAAATTTCGTCGATCAACGATCGAAGAGACTGAGATCGTCGTGAAATATTTTATAGAATATTGAAAAGACGGTTTCGATATCTTTAGGTCTACACTCGATGGTAATAGAGCAAGCGTTTTGCAGGTCGGTGGGATTTTTTTACTAATATTACGCGTGACGAAGGACTAGTAGCTAAAAAGAGGCTTTTGACTCCGACGAAGCTTTACTGACGCTAGGGAAGATTAGACACGGGAACGAGATATTCGATCCCCGGCGCAACAGAGCTTTACTGACATTACTAGATCGTTAAGATAGCTAATTGAACGTTCCTTGACTCATGCTTTCGGCGCAGATACGCGCGGAGCCCAGTTTCGTTAGTTTCAATTTTCGTTATACATTTTGTTAATTATATCTTTATATTTTGACTTACATGTTGCGGAGTGCTGGATTTAATCGAGTCATTCGATTTAATTTTGATCTGAATTTTTATTTTTAGATTGTAGCTGGCTGATTTAAGGTGGCTGAATTTGTGCTTTCATTATGAGAATTTAATCTTGTTGTACATACATATTTTTTTATTAAGAGAATTTTAATTTTTGTTCGACATTTAGCACATTGAAAACTACAGCGATGAATTGTTACGAGCGGTGCCACGATAATTTACGATATCCTTGCTGAATCAGATAAGTGATCATTAAGCCTTTATCACGAATGAAAATTGTTTTGCGAATATTGTCACGCTTCGCCTTTCATTTGGCGACTGTTCGTTCGAAAGATGACACCTTATACATTGTCATATTGACAAAAAGGATTTCTTATTAGGCATTGCCAGGGCAAAGTGCGGATGATTCATGCGCTTAATTCATGATTACACGTCGGTTTAATTGATATACGCGGTCTCATGGGAAATTGCTTACATCGTCCCGCTTAAATTACGAATGTGCGAATTTTCCAATTTTTCACTAATGTCATTTTCTTATTCAATTTGGACAAAGATTCTATGCCAGAGACGCGAATGCGATAGCAATAGTAAATCAGTGCTTGAATAATCTGAATAAATTACAAGAATAAAACAAGAACCAGATTTTTCGGAACAAATTAAATTTTCAAATAGCAATAATTCTAAATTACAAAATTGCACATTCGTGATTTTGGCATAAGAGCGACGATATATAAACGGATTATAACGTCTTTCGACGATATCTAACTTCCATTTCGTTTATTTTTCCAATCCTTTTTATTTAAATCTCTTTCACTTATAAATTTCCTTATTCCTTCCGCTCATGTCTTTCTTGGTCTCCCTCTCTTTTTTTTGTTTCCTTGGAAAATTTTTTGAAGACTTTTTTTGGAAGTCTATCATTGTTCATTATCTTTACGTACCAAATCAGTTGTTTCCTCTCAATGTCCTCGTCTATGATTCCTTCTATACCTATTCTTCTTTTCACCTCTTTGTTTTCTTCTCTCTCTAAGCTTGATATGCAATCCGTCTCGTGGCATCCATTTTTTGTAGTTTTTTTTTTATGCTTTCGGTCATTCTCCATGTCTCTGATCCATACAGTAGGCTTAGTTGATGCATAAAGATAATCGAGGAAGAAGAAGACTGAAGTTAAATAATAGTTCCTTCGAGTTTAAAGGTGTATATGTATACAACGTTTGCATTGCACATTTATATTATACGCTACAAAATTCTTCTGCAAAAATTGGATTTTGCACAGAATTTTATCCTTACACTTTTCAACTCGGAGGCTTAAGATTTTATTTTTATTCTTACAATACAAAAACGCGAGGTTTACGTAGTTTGATTATATAAAATGTGCGTTTTTTTATATACGTCGTATTTTTATTTCTTTTTGTTTCATGTACTGAACAAAATACTTAGACTTATTAAATTATCGCGCACGTACCTCGCCATCTTCGTCAATTGAAATTCTACGACGCGAAGTGGTGCGAAATAATTTTTAGGAGCACGGGAACAGAAAAGGAGAAAAGGAGAAAATCTGAAAGACCACATCAAAGTGATAGGAGAAAATTTGATGTTGTTTGAAACGTCAGAGTTCCCTTTTAGCAGAAGATATTTCTCTTCCCGTACCACCTCGCAGATAATAATTTATTTTAATTATCGAGCGTCTATTTTAACATTTATTATTATGTTATTATTACATATTACATCTAATCTATATTATTATTATCGCTTATTATTATTATCATAATCATGATAATCGTTGTCCTGTCTTTTCCCGTCTCGTTTCTCAACCGAAACCCCACTATATTCCACGCTTTCACATTTCGTAGATTATATATTATATTATGTTTGTTATTTAATTATCGTGATTGTTACGCCATTTGTTAATTTATTATTTAAGATTTTAATAATAAAATAGAGAAGCAATGAGACAATGCATACATAAGTATATACGTATTTACACACATCACCATATAATACATATTTTTATTACAGCTTAAATATATAAATCGCAAAATTAAGTGTATACCAATTTATCGATCAGTCACGTAAATGTTTTGTGATGGCAGATTTCAAGTTTTACAATCGATTGCTCAAAAACCGTATTAATTCCCGCGAAGAACATTTCGCGCAAAAAGAAGTAACTTTTTGCGAGCAATCGTTAAAAAGCGATATTTAATCGCGACAAAATTTTTGATTATTATCACAGTATGAGAACTCGTTAAATCGCTCATCGACTTAAATAAAAGGCGTGCATTTGACGCGCGAATGAATTTTTTTTCTTTATGTCATTATCGGTCGACCCTCGATTGTTATCACTATGTCAACCTGTCGGTCTTATCGCGAATTAATCGTATTTACTGTCTACCTATCTGCAAAAAAACAGTTTCTAGAAATGAACTAGGCATTTGCGCGGTTTGTAGGCATTCATTGTTTAGATAAGCGCTCTAGTGCCTCTGTTCAACCTTCTATTCGCAATGTTTTCGATTGTCGAGTAGTATCCTAGTTTATTAATGGTAAATTTCACATTTGATTAATTGTGTTTATTATCGACGCTGCACGCAATATCATTTTTGAGATCTTCAGCGATATCGTTCGCGGTGATGTTTCAATTTGTCTTATGATTACAGAATATTTACAACTTGACGATAGCAGAAAAGGACTGGGCCTTATTTTAAAAATCTTATGCTGCATTATTAATTCAATGATAAATGCATGTTAACTTTAAAATAATTCGATATGTATCGTCGAAACCATATCAAAATATCATCTTCGAGATTGCACATCTCTCTTTCATGTGTCTCAAATTAGTACAAATAATCTTGTTTTAACGCAGTATTTGCATTTTGCATATAAAGCTAAGTATTATATGGCTATTTACGTCATCGTTCCAACTGCTGAAACTCTGAAGGTGTCAGCAGCTCTTTCGTAATACGTTTTATATTTCCTCGTAAGTGCCAAGTGAACACATTTTTCTCTCTCTTTATGCTTTCGTCACTTTTAAACTTTCATACATATAATATAATAAGAAATTTTAATATAAGAATTTGTTTTCAGAATAAATATTGAAGTATGATTACGTCAATTAAATGCTTCAAATCTCGAAGCGTTAAAAAAACAGTACGACATCCGTCTTATTTTTTCTATCAGCAACACAACATTGTGCGCGCCCCGATCTTGTCTTCTTCCGAATATTTCATATATTAAACTCAGCGTTCATTTATTCACACAAGCAATATTCTCAATTTGTCAGAAGACCGATGGAGGTTGGAGCGATTCTTTCTCCGATTACTTCCGTCATCGGCTGCAACTCGAGGGTCCTCTTCTTCTTCGAAAACATATCTTCAATCTCACGCAGGGTCTTCCCTTTCGTCTCGGGCAAGAAGAACAGGACGAATACCACGCCGACCAAGGATATGGCCGCGAAGAAGAGGAACACTCCGTGCATGCCCATTGACTTTAGCATGTCCGGATACGTCTTGATGGTCACCGCGCTGAAGAAGTAACCGATGCACACCGTCAGACCGGACAGTATATCTTTCACCTTCGACGGGAATATCTCGCCCACCATAGCGAACGGAATGACGAGGTAGCCCAAGGTGCTCGTGAAGATGTACATTATCATACACACCACCGGGACGACGCCGTCGTCGGTCATGACGGTTCCGTTCTCCGACATGTAGATGTAGAGCGACAGTGCGCCCATGAAGATCGTCATCCCGATGCCAGAGATCATTGACGGGATCCGTCGACCGAATTTTCGCGACACGCCGGCCGTCAGAAGACTAGCGATCAGACGCGCCACGCCTATTAAGACGGCGCCGAGATAAGGATCTACCTGGACTCCCGACTTTGCCATGATGTCAACGGCGTTGTATATAACCACGAAGATGCCGGAGAACTGCTGGAATAAGAAGTAGGTGAGCATTATGGCAAACGGCACCAGGGAGCTCCTTTTCGCCAGGTGCTTCAGCAGGTTCTGATTCTTCTTCTGCGGCCGCGGTTTCAGCTCGAACAGGACTTCCGGCGGAGCTGGCTGATCCTTCGGTATTCCGCGGAATTTCTTCATGATCTCCAGCGCTTCTACGGGACGATTCTGATCTCGCAGCCACAAAGGACTCTCCGGTATCACAAGTAAAATCAGAGCAATCCCCAACAGCGGGAACAGAGCGCACATCAAAGCCACCATTCGCCAGTCATCCTTTGAGTGAGAAAAATTAAAATAATTATGCATCGTGTGTTAGATAACAAGCTATGAGCTTGCTCTATGATTACTGATTTCACACGCAGATATGTTCGATTTCTCGATCGATTTCTCGATCAAATTATACGATAACGCTAAGGAAGTCAATGTAACTTCTGTGGAATTAAATGCAACTTGTTAATGAATGCGTGACGTTTACCTTGAAAATATACCCAAAGATGTAAACGATGAGAACACCGAGGGCGATGGAAATACTGGTCCAAGTGACCATTGTGCCTCTCCATTTCACTCCAGCTATTTCCGCATTGTATACCGTTGTCGGAACCGACGCCATACCCGTTGATATTCCGGAAATTCCTCTTCCAATCAAAATCTGCACGTAACTGTTCGACATGTAAATGGTCACCCAACCCGCCAGCGATATTAACGATGTCACGAACATAGTGGTCTTTCTTCCTCGACTCATCACGATGCTCGACAACAAGCAACCGATGGGCGTTCCCAGCGCCGATATAGGAGCTGAAGATTGTTAGACAACAATTTTTCAACAATGATAGATTTAAGTTGATTTTTAATAAGAAAAAATTACACAGGTTTTATCAGGTATTGGACAAATAAATTTTACTAACCCATCCAGTTTGCCTGATCAGCGTCGAGTTGTATGTCATCGGTTTTCGGTGCTTTCATCGCGGGTTCTGCAACGGCGCTGTAACCGAAACCCATCGCTGGACCAAGTACCACCATATTGGCACAGAAGCCCATCAACACCTATAAACGAAATCAGGAAGAAGTCAAATCAGTCAAATCAAGAATCCAGAAAGCACGGAAGCTACGGAAGAATCTTGATGAAAATAGAATTAATCTGAATTAATCTGGAAGAATAAAACTTCAGTAAACTTTTTGATAAAAAGAAAAAATTAAATTATTTATGGCAGCGAAACATGACGCAAAAACACGGTAAACAGATACGGGAGGCATTGCAGATAGCTTACCACCAAAGGCTAAGATCAACTAAAGTTCATATCAGTCAATCATTGCAGACAACCATATTTATCTTATACTTCTCTTATCGCGCCTATACCAGTGTAGCTATTATGTATGCATGTAATATTAAAACCGATTCAACTAACAATCAGGGGGGGCTGAGCAAAGAAGATGCAGTCAGCAATTAAATACGCCTTAAAATTTCATCCATGAAATTATAGCGTTCCACTTGATTTGAAGCTGAACACAATATGTACTTAACGCGAATTTTAAGATATAGATATATAAAATCTTAATTATAAAATATAGATATTTTATATCACTGATTTAAAGATTTAAAGTTTGATATGACATGAAAAATAAGCAATATATATATTTTTCATAAGAAATTTGTCGTTCAAAGATAAACATTCTTTATGTATGTATATTGCAGTCTTTATACATAATATTTAAAATTTTTTTAAATGGCACTGTTCTGCGTAAAAAGAATTAGAATAAATATATAGTAGTATTTTTTTAAGACTTGAGAGATGTTTGTGACTAAGATGTTTGTTACTTGTATTTTTTCTCATCTTCTAATCTTTAACGATCGCTGCAAGATGAGCACAGCTTTCATAGATTTATTCAACAATTATAAATTATCTTGCATAAATAGATTTTTTTAAACATCTATAATTTATCACGAATAGTGGTGTTGACTAGAAAATCTGTTCTATAACATATTTTGTTTTTATTTCATCATTTCATTTACATTTTATCTCGATTGCTACATTTAGATTATCTGAGCGGAAATGTAAAAAATACATAATGAGTGTACTAGTAGAATATGTCGTTATCGAGATACAATATTGGGTTGTGTAATAAGTAATTACGTAATTTCCAATAAATATTTTATGTTGTTTTTGCAGTAATTGCTTGCTATTACTTGTTTTTACATAATTACAATATTTGCTTTTGTGTAAAAACGTGCTGCATGAACAATCGTCTGTATTACGTTTTTACGTGAAAAAAATCGTAATATAGACGGAACTTGGTACTTCCATAAACGAATATTTACATGTTAATCAAACTGCACTTCGTCTGACAAAGAGTAAACAAATTTATTTAAAAAATCTGAAATTATTTATCACACAGTCCAACAAGAAATAATAATTAATAACAAAAATATACAAATACCTATTGCAAAATTGCGCATGTATGACGATTATGAAGTATATCTAACGTTTGTTCAATGTCATTTTATTCGCACGCAAAAGTGTCAAAGAAAAAAAAATAGAGCTACAAATTAACATTAATGAGCTATTTAGTTTTCATGTAAATGAGACAGAAATAAATGGGATAGAATAACTCTAGCAAAATTGTTTCTCATTTTAAGAAGTAATTTATATCCACGCTTATGGATTATTATTATTAATTGATAAATAATGTACAATATTATCAATTAACTGATATAATATTTTTAATCTCATGGATTCAATCTTATCTTTTAAAGAGGATAATTAATTACAAAGTTGTAATGTTTTTTAAGAATGTAAATAATTTTAGCATACTTGATAAATTGTTCCAGTACGTTTCCATTTTTTTTCTTCGTCGATATTGGGTTCCGCCTGTAAAACAAATTATTAGAGATTATTTTTAATATATTTCTATAATATTTATAATTCTATAATTTATATTAAATATTATGGAAATTAAAATATGTTAGAATTTATTTTTATCGCGATTTTTTTGCATTTTTAAAATAGCATTCACAAATCAAAGATAAAAAAACTTTCAATAACACTATCTTTTATCACAATGAAAAGATTATGCCTAATCATAATACGCATTAATTTCTAATGAAATGACCCATCGTATTGTTTGATAATTGATGGTATCCGAAAATAGCGACTAAATAATATGATTATGAATACTTCCGAATTGTTATCACAAGTTTGGGAATAACTATTTTCGAAGATAAATCTCTGAAGTTTGAGAAATGGAAGAGAAGTATAAAGAAGGAAGTTACGTGATATTCTTGATAACCTTGTAATTGAGAGCAAAAATAAATGAGGAGATGATGAAAAGTCTTCTAATCTATGAGTCTACTAACTGATTAGAAATATCTAAAATTGTCTAAAATGTTTTAAAAATATTATTTATGTAAAATAAATTTTTACAGCGATAATACTAATAAAATTAGTGAAATTGAAAAATTCCTAACTTTGAAAGCAAATAAAAAAAGCACTAAAATTTAGATATAAAAAACGACTTTTTAAAATTTGAAAAAATTTTGAAATAAAAGAGTTTTTATTCTGTACATTTGTATGTTCGATTAAAATATAATTATATTTTATTAAAGATATATACATACCTTGGCTTCCACATATGATATACGCCCATTGTTAACATCAATACATCCATTTATATTATTAATGTCAACGTATCTATTCGTATTATTAATGTCTGTTTGTCCGTCAATGATAGTGACGTCTGTTTGCCCATTTGTATTATTATCCACTGTGTTCGTCATGATTTTTTGTTTTTTTTAACGCTTTTCTTGTTAACCGCGTCAGTTAAATAATTTTATAAAATAATTTATGTATCATATATCTTTCTGTCTAATCTGTATTACGTAAAAAAATGATTTGCAATTGAGGAAACAGCTATCAGTTCTTATTATCTTATTGTAACGATAAATGTCTTGATTGCTTGAATCACTTTTCTTCGCGTTTTTCTCTTTTGCGGCTTGATTCTGTATATGTCTGTATAATAACTCGATGGTGCTTATATACTTGATAATGAGCTCGCGATATCGTATCACGAGGTACCTTAAATCTCATGAACATTCATCGACTGCTTGCATGTCGTATTTAAAAGATACGAAAGCGTCAAGTGACTCGGAATCCGACTAATTAAAAAGTGCGAAAGCACCGAGCGACTTTGTGTTAATTGACTGTTGCGCGTTATAAAATGCCGATGCTCATATATTCACGAGTTTTAGATACGGCGGTTTACACTACACCTCTTTTTTCTATTTTCAGTCTTTTGTGTTCAGATAATATTGTCACCTACGGAATAATACCGATAATTATTATGTCGCTGTGAAGTGTCTATTCGTATTGTTCGACGATGTTCTGCGGAAAATTGCGTTCTACTCGCACAAGATTGTGACTTCAATCTTGAAGTATCAGTTACAAGTAGGTCTAATCGCAAACAACAAGACGTTTTATTGTTTGCGATTCAAGCAAAGCATAGTCATCGAGATATTTACTAGATCATTCTAAAAAATTCTAAGAAATAGTTATAGTTTTTTAACTTGCTTTCAGATCATAAAATCTCCAAAGTTTTGAATATCTCGAAAAAATACGTATTAAATACTCGCTATTTAATCCAAACGACTGTCTTCATAAGTCAAGTTCGCACAATTGATTTTCTTCCAGTAAGTAGTATTTGTAAATGAATTTGCGCTTTCGCGTGGGAGCTGCCAGGAAATTTTCTCGATCTATTCCGACATTCGCGAGTTTTTCGACTGGCGCGAGATATAGCCTGACGACCCAGTCGCGATTGTAACCAGCGCTAACCGGGAACTCGTTATTGACTGAAGACGTCGCAAGGATTTTATCTACTGTACCCGATTACGTTTCTCCACTCCGGGACCGTTCGCCTCGCATGATCAGCTGTATCGGCGCGGGGTGACGTTCGCGGGATATTACATTTGCCGTTTCGTTTTTTATATTGCAACTGATAAAAGAAGTATTTACACAAAAAAGCAATCGAAAGACTGGTGGCTGACAGTTCGCTGCTCGTAATAATATTTGAGTGTAAAAGATAATGACTACATTAATAATTAGTGTAATAATGATATCGGCATTATAATAACATTATTTATTATAATGTTTCAGAAATGTTCTGCTTGAAAGAGAGAGAGAGAGGGGGGGGGAGAGAGGGGAGGGAGAGACTTGGAAGCTTACAATCTGGTTGTATCAAGTGCAATAGATTAAACAATATCTCCGAACTTTGGATTTTATTCAGGGATCTGTATCTACTCTCATATCTGTAAGTATATTAACGCATGTGTAATTAACTTCGAGTATTTAATTGCTTTATAATTATATAAAGTAAACTTTTATTATTGGCATAATTGTATTATCAATTGTGCAGTAATAAATTATTTTATCCAGTCGAGTCCCACTCACATCCGTGGATACATGTCACAGTTTTAATTGCTTTTACATAGTAGTGACGAACCGTTAAGTTAGACGGTCCGTGGCTTCACACGTATATAACTTTACTAACCACATTGTACTACACGTTTATCAGAGGATGCGTTTCCTTAGTCAAAAATAGTACCAAAGCTTCTCTAATCATGTACTAAATTTTATAATTTGTATTACACTGAAGATGGCCACGTACCTTGGCCGAAACGTCTGTAGAAATTTATAAATAAAAGGAATTTTTGAGCAAATCGATCCAGCTCTTGCTCCATTGGCTATATATATTAAAACGATTTTTAATTTAATTAAGGAAGAGCAATAACCAATTATTATTGTATTTTAATTATTTTATTAATGTTGTAAGTTTAAAGTCATAATTAATGTTATAAGTTTAAGAAGATCAATGTAATGCGTATGTACAGAAAAATTGATGGAAACAAAGTTTTATACAGGAATAAAAATCACGTTAATATCTTTTAGAACTTTAAAGTTCAGTATAAACTTGACATGTATATCGTACTTTGCATAAATTAATTAATAATAGACATATATTAATCAAAAATATCAGTTGCGTCAATTAGAAACGCATCTTCTTATTATACGATGTTTATCCCTGCTATTCAAATTTGCAATGCGTCATAGGATTGAATATTTAATCCGAAACATCTGTTTATTTCGTCATTGGACCCAGTTTATAGGCTAATTAGGAACTGTGGAAATATTATATTCTAGCTTTAATCGGTAAATTCTGCATATTTATTATGTTTTCTAAATTTTTTCATAATGATGAACGGTTTTTTTTACATAATAATGAATGAAATATGCATTGTAATTAATATAACGTAACTTTTATAATAATATTTGTTAATTTACCGATTTTTAAGATGGTTTCCTATTAAGAAATACATTTTATCGCAATTAAATTCCGCATTTATAAATAATATATTGTGATCAATACTATCTTGCAACATAATGTTCTTTAATTTAAATAAAGTCCTTGGTTCCTGTTTATTCTTTGCTAAATAAACATTTTGACATGTATATATGCCAATAAATTAATTTTTATTTTTATAAATTTATATGCAATATATATATATATATATTATTATATGACTTTCTATATATCTAATTGCAGTGTTCTGGATACTTGAAATACTCAAATCAATATTGGTTTTGATTGTAGAAGAACAGCGAACACATGACATTTTCATGGCATCTTCTATAACTGACAGTATCAGCATCGTAAGTAATGTTAACGGTAACATAACAGATATCAATATAATTGTAGACATAATATAGTCATAATGTAATAGACACGAGATATTTTATCGAATTTTCTACATGTTTGCACAAACGACATTTATCGCACAAGACATATATAGATGCATTTAATACATTTGTGACTGTTTTCTCCTTTGCTTTCTTGGACTAATTTAACTCGCCAACGCAGCCTTGGATCTAAATTATTATTGCGTGTGTCATCACACACCATTAATTTTTATTGACGATTCAACATCGCAGACACTCTAGACAGATGCTTGTAAAAGTGCAACACTGAAAAGAATGCTCAAATATCTTCAAATTGTTAAAAAAATAAAAAAAATAATTATTTGAACAGCTCCAATATTAATATTTCTACACATATTTTGCTCTATTTTATTATTCATAATACATCTACATATATTTTATATTTTTAATTTTAATATATTTAATAATATATAATAATTTAAACTTTATTGAATATTTTAAATATAAATATGTAAAAATAATTATTTTTTCTTTCTAAAATTTGGAATAAAAATTTCTTTTTATTTGTACGTTTTATAATTAGAGAATATATTTTAATTATCCATCAGATATATACGACTCGTGAATATTCGAATAATAAGAGCTAAAGTAGTTGGATGGAAAACGTGTGTTAATGCTAATAACACTTTTAACAAAGAAATGTTATGAAAAATACATGCTCAGAGCTGAAAGAGGTTTTAATCCGACGATGTCGGGTATCGATATCGGAGGTCGCCCGGCACGTTCTTGTAAATTAAAAGCGATTAAAGACGACTCATCGAGTCTTGTAAGCCCGTACGTAATGTATGTTATCGCGGAACTCTTAGCGCTTACGTAAGGAGATAATCGTCATAACGATATCGCGTACACGTCACGACGTGCAGATCTATAAGCCTAACTGGCAATATGATTCAGCCAGATCGGTTAAAGACCATTTAACTTTTTGGCGCGGCAGAAAATCGACACACACTGTTAATTGCGTCAAATTTTGCAACGCAATCGGTCATCGTACATTTAGACCACATGAAAAGCTTCTAGCTGATTCATCAAAACGATAATTGTGTTATCATTATTATGTTAATTTACAATTGTTAATCTTCGTCATTCTATAATTAACAGAGTAGAAATTATCGAAGTTAAATGTCGAAGTTAAATGTGATTTTCCAGGTTAATTTAAAATTATTATATATTTGAAATATTTTTTAAGTTCTGTTTGCATATTTATTTACAGTGTAGTTTAGTTATCTAGTAATCTATAATTTGCGACAGAATCAGAAAGAGAAATTTATTTAGAATTTTTTTATATTAATATGTAAAGCAGAAAATATTTGAAAAATCTTTTACAAAAACACAATTTTATGAAAATAATTATTAGCATTGTCAATTTAAAAAATAATAACTTATAGAGGGTTAAATGATTAGAAATCAAATTAAAATTTGAAGGAGCGAGAAGAGCTTCCGGTTTTTCGTGCGAAAGAACACATATTGAAATTTAAAGATAAAAACATATAAAAACGAACGTTTCAGCCTGCCATCAGGCCTTCTTTAGTGTTTCAGTAATAAATAAAACGCACGCAATAATTTAAATCATGTACGCAATACTACGATAAAACAAAATATTTAATTGATATTTTTCTCCTTTGATGAATTGCCTTAAATTATTAGGGATCGAGAACGCTATTTTTGAGATTGAAACTTCTCGCTATCGACATAAAGTCTCTAGAAATCGATTTAACATATGGAACTGTCAAAAACAGTCTTTGGTCTTTTTCAGCAGAGTCATTAATATTTGAGGTCACATTAATAATTCTGTTATTAATAATTCATTATTAATTCTGTTGTCATAAAAAAGAAATTTACGGTTATGTAGAGAAGAAAATAAAAGACAGAGGATAACAATTATAATATTTAATAAGATATTCACAGCCAATACCAAGTTCTTCTGATGAAACTTTGGGTGGGAAAGTAAAAAAATTCTGTCAATCAGGCCCAAAATTATGTCTCTTTTAGAGAGGTTTCTTCCTGGAAAACAGGATGATGGAAATAATAATTTAAAAATCTCCCTGTAGAGGTAGGCTTCAGATAGCAATAAAAAATAATCATCTCATCATTCAATATCATCGTGACTTAATTGATATAGCTTAATTTTTGCGGTATAAATTTAAATTTTTCGATAAAAAGTACTTGCGATAAAAAAAGTATTTTACTTGAAGAGACAAGCTGCACTTGATAGGAAGAAGCATCGTGTTACAAGCAAGGAAGTGGAATTTGAAAGGCGCACTGACCTACCTGAATGAAACGACGACCTTCCTCTTCAAGAGAAAGTGCTTGTCGAGATGCTAACATGGCGCAATGAAAAGGAAGCCGACGTTTATGTTTTGATTTTAACAAACTGGAACTTTTTTCTTGAAAATTCACTTTTTCACAGTCTTTTTTTCACAATCTATTAGTGGCGTATCGTTCTGTTTACAAGATCACGCCCTATTTATCGATAAATAATGCGCGATGACGACGCGCGAAGTGTTTGCTGTACTGATAACCAATTTTTCTCATCACAAATAAAAATATTGTTCACGTTGAAAAATCACATTAAAGCGTGATCACGTTGAATATATATCTTGAGACACTCTGACACTTGGCACTGGTGGAAAAAAATGTTTTGATTTTATTGACTCGAGAAGCTGTTTGAATCGTCTTATGATTTTTCTCATGGATGCATGCACCAAAACTAACTGTTTGATCACTTAACGTTGCTATATAAGCGCCACGAGTGAGACTCGCATTTATTAGATTCGGAATGTAATCAGCGCCATAAATGATACTTATATTTGTAAAACTTGAACTCTGCAACTGATACAATAACTGATATTTGTTATTAACGAATTTTATATGCTAAAATAAGCAGCGTGATAAAAATATCTTATCACGGATATTTAAGTTATTAACTTCTTGAAGTGGGGTTCAATGCTTTATTTTATACTAGAACGAGCGGCCATATTGATATTGATAAAAAAAGATATCGATATTATACTATCTACACTATATTCTTTTCAGTTTTATCATGTGCAAAAGAGAATGTTTTATTTAATTCGTATGTATTAATTTTTGCTCTGACAAGTAATAATTTTTGAAAAATGCAAACAAGGATTAAAATGATTTATTTCGTTTCCTTATTTATCCTCGCATTAAGTAAATCATAACTGATATCAAAAATAAAAACGGTGTACAAACTTTTGCAGAATCATTGGTATAGCGTCGTTTTTTCCCGCATTATTACAATTAAAAATTAATTAGGCTCTAATTAGCAATATAACTTTCGATGAGGCATAATAAAATTGTTGGATATGTGTTATATGGTATAATTACGTGCCTTAATAATAATATAGTTTGACTGAGTGCAAAAATTCTAATTCTTATAGCAACGTTTACAGTGACATACAAGAATAGCTCCGCAAGTTTAACTATCTTGTTACTTAGGTTGTTAAATAAATGTGCACACAAAATGTGTGAAAAAATTGAGTGCAGATACTTCTTCCAATGACGCAATAATTTCCGTTGAAAAATTTAGTATGCTTCATTATTCTTATTAAAAATTGGCCATTTAATTCATCAAATTATATATATTAATTATTGCGGATAAAATTGTCACATACTTCAAAATGTACATTATTATATTTTACATGAAAATTCTCTGGCTATATATATATCGATGATACATCGGTAGTGTTTGCCAGGTGCATTTTGCACTGCAATGCGTTTAGTGTGAACTGTCATCCGTGTTCGTTCGATGAATCATTTATCTGTGCTCTAATTCACACTCGTAATCCTATTAGCCGAGAAGAAATTTGTATAAAATTATATTGTATTTCCTGCTAAATATTTTTATGAAATAACAATAGAATAAATTTTTGAATATTAAGAAAAATGTGTTCAAAAATGTATTTAAAATTAAATCTACGAAAAAAAATATTTTTTTTTGCATATTACGACCATATTTAATAATTTAACAATTTTCAATATTGGTAGAATAATTTTTAATTTATGTACTTTACAAACTTATGTAAAGCAATGCATAAGATAATTTTTAGATATTGTTGCAATTTTAAAACTCTAAAAGTTAAAAAATGGATACTTATATGATTATTTATATGATAAAGAATTGAATAGACTTGCTTTGGAGTTTTTTTAGACATATTTATTATCTAATCATAATTTTTTTAATGAATTGCATTACAGATGTCCGGATGATGTGGATCTTTCTTGATTCCACGCGCGACGATTGAAGAATTATCTTACCAAGCACATAAGCGTCCTCAAGTCGGTCACAACTTTCATCGCCAACTATTTGGCTGCTTCGCCGTCCAAGTGTATCCAACGATGGTAATCCAGGTAAGTCACTACTATTTACTTTTACAACATAATGTCCAGCATAATTATCTTTAATTTTATTATTGTAACACGGAGAAAGACGGAAACGAAAAATGAAGCCTTTAGAGATAAATCACAAACCAATAGTTAAGAGGATGCTGAAGTCATATTGTTACCGACCGAAACTTCAATTTTCTAAAAAGGGTGGCGTTTTTTATTGCTTTAATAGAATTACAAATCCTTTGGTGTAAATAAAGTACATATGCTAATCTTTCGGCAGTTGGTCAAATTTAAACCAAAAAATAAAAAAAATTTTTGAAAATTTACAGACAATGTCACCTCAAAGAATTATATCTTTTATA